TCTATGTATCTATGTATCTATGTGTCTACGGCACGCACACACACATAACGCAGCCGCTCTAGTCTCTCTCTCTCTCTCTCTCTCATCAAAGATTTATCGAGCGCGCCCTTTCTTTCCCCGTCGCCATCGGTGACTCTCTCGCACGCTATTCGCTTTATTGCGCGCTCTCCTCTCGCTCTCCTCTCTCCTCTCTCTTCTCTCCTCTCTCCTCTCTGCTCTCTCCTATCTCTGTACGTATATGCGGCCGATGGTGCAGCAGAAAATGCGGATGATATATATATATAATATACCGATGGCACGGCCCCACATTTGTCGAAGCAATTTTTTTCCTGATGTCTTTTTAGAATTTTTCGCTCTCTGCTCTCTCCCAAGGGAAAAACGCCACGCGCCACAAAGAGAATCTTATACTATTGGGAAAGATGTTAAACAGCTAGGGGCTGAAACCCTATATGGAGCGCGGCTGCTTGAACCAGTGGTTCGAACATCGATAAAAATATTAACGCGCGTACACGCTTTATGCCTACACGAATATATCCAGTCCGGCGAAAACACGCACGCGTAAACACACACACGCACGCACGCACATACGCAAGCAGACACACACGCGCACACACATACGCAATCACACACACGCACACACGCACGCACGCACGCACGCACGCGCACGCACACACACGCGCACACACCATAAAGACATGACCTTACCTCTTCGAATGGGTTCCGTCGCAGCCGATGGCGGTGAAGTGGAACTTGTAATGCTGACGTCGTTCGCAGTTCAACTCGCTAGTGACGACGATCCGTGCCTCGCCTGTCACCTTGTCAACTAGCTCTACCTCCAGCGGCAGCTCACCGTGTCGTGTCACCCTGTAGTGACACACCTCCGCCGACCCTGCGACAAGGTGAGACAAACATCTGTCAAGCTCTCTCACGACAATTGACCACAAAGGGTGCAAAACATATATTGTGCACAATATTATGTGGACCGCGGTCTGTCAATACTGATTGACCAGTGATTTGTCAGTGCCAATTTACCCATGATTTGTCCACGCCAATTCACGAGTGATTTGTCAATGTCATCTGACCATGATGCAAAGCAGCCCTCTCATGCACACACAATATGCCCCATACCCTCACATTCTTACCAGCCCTGAGAGGTATATACCATACCACACACTCGCATTCACTCTTATATATTATTCACACACTCACCCAAACGCTCTCCCACTATTATATATATATAAAATTATATATATATGATGCAGACAGTGTGGGGCACCTGATCGCGAACCATGGTATGAACATACATTATGTACATCATGTACATTATGCATGTAATTCTATAAATATGTACTCTTGATGTACATGCATAGTCACGACAGTGTGTTAAACGTTGTGGTGAAAGAGAGGAAAACAAGGTGATATATGCCATGCTCTTAACAACTGTAAGGGGTACGTACAGCATGTCACCCCCTCAGCACCGCCTGCAAGATGCGCACAGTGTTCATACCCTACAACCCGCGTACGATGTGAGATACGAATCACCTCCTAGGGCCTAGGCGATCGATTCATGACATTCAGATTCTAATTAGTCGCTGCGCAGCATTGTTGTTACGCCAGACTAGCACGCTGTCGAGCCGCTAAAACACGCCAAACTTCCCGCGAACAAAAGGTGAATGTTCTCACACGAGTAGAATCGTAACACTTGTCGCTTTGCGTTAAGTCTCGCCGGCCCGTGTGATTTCTCACGCTGCGCTGGTTGCACGTGTCAGACAGCAAATCCGGCGACGGTGCGCGGCCACGACTAATGGAAATCCACTGACACGTCCCCATCTCTCTTCACCTCTTCCCCTCGCTCCCTCTCTCCTCCTCTCTCTGTCTCTCTCTCTTTTACGCCTCCCCCTTGCTCTCTCGATACGCCCTCTCTTCCTCCTTCATCTCACCCACACCCTCTCTCTCTCGCCCTCTCTCTCTCTCTCTCTCTCTCTCTCTC